TTTTTTTTTTTTTTTTTTTTTTTTTTTGGTAAAATGGCTTACGGTGTTTAGTTTTTTGTTGTTGTGTTTTGTGTGTTTTTTTAATTCTGCAATATAGAAACAAATTTCCCATTTCTCCCCATTTCTTAATGTCCTTTAATCACTGGTAGTTCTCAGATAAATGTAAGGTGCTTTCTGTGTCCATTTCACACAAAATCCATATTCAATTCTACTTAACAAATATTTGAATGACTTCTATGCATCCTTTACATGGAATGAAACCAAGAATCCATGCGATTAGAAAATAGAAGATAGGGTGTATTAAGAAGTTCAGAATATTCTCTCAAGTCATTCCTTAGCTCATCCTTTACTGCTGCAAATATAGCTGATGTTTAATATCTTTGATTTATGCTTCTTGGATTAGATCTTTAACCTTATACTGGGGTTCTCTCTGTGCTCCTGATTTAAAGCATTATGCCATTTTAGTGGATCATTTAAATTTCCTCTATTGTAATGATGGTAGAGCTCTGGAATCAGTTTAGTATGTTAATATTTACACAGGAAACTTGATTCCAGCCTGCCAAGTAATTCAGCTTGTCTGTGTTCCCGAACTCGAAGCTTGTGGCTGCGTAACTGGTCAGGTCTTGAAAGGTTTTGTTATCTATTGATAGGAGCTTGTTCCTTTAAATTAGAGTCAGCCTTTGCACTATCAACATTTGGGCTCCATAATGTTGTGGGGGACTGTCCTGTGTGTTATAGGATGTTTAGCAGCATCTCTGGCTTCTACTTACTAGATGCCAGAAGAACCTTCTTCTCAGTTGTGATAACCAAAAATGTCTTCACACATTGCCATCTGTCCCCTGGAGCAGAGGGGGAGGAACAGATTCACCCCTAGTTAAGAACCAGTGCTTTACACCAACATTCCTTTAGTCCAGGGTCCATTTATTTTTCACTCTTTAGCCATATGCCACCTGACTTGTTATATGAGAGAAGGTGGTACTTAATAATCATGGATGGAAGGAAATGGTTATTGGTGTTTCCCTTTTTTGTAATGCTTATTTTAATAATTCTCACATCACATTAGAAACTCAGGGCTGGAAGGTTCAACTTATTTTTCCCCCTCAACTTTTATTTCTTAACATTTTGCTTATCTTAGGACAGTGATTATTAACCTACCTCTCTCTTACTCTCAACAGAATCCAAGTTTATGTTAGATTTGCTTTGTCTCTAAAATTTAACATTTTAAGTATACTTTAGAAAATAGATTGCCATTTTTAAGTGTTCATTCATTGTCCAGTAATGCACAGGATTTTACAGACTGTAGCAGTCATTAAATATAGAAAAATATTTCATAAAATTTGGTAATCACATGTGAGAGTTAGCTGGTGTAGACACAAATTTTGGATGTGATCAGAAGAATGGTTATTGGATCCATTCCACAAAGAGAGGTGTAGTATAAGACACTTAAATGTTGTTTCTGTTTGGAAAGAGGAATTTTGACTGGAATAGATGCTTCTTTTGATATCTTTCACCAGTGGCTTGAAGTAGAATAAGGGGAATAGGAAATGAATCTTAACTGTTGCCTTCTTCTCAGAGTTGGTGATGTGTATGTAGTTGAAGGTAGTTATCTCTGTGACCCAGAATCTTCTGCCTGGGTTTCTCTTAGGACTAAATTGGAAACGTGCAGGACTAGAAAGGTTGGACTTAATCATTAACTTAGAGAAACTGAGGGGAAGTGTCCAGCATCGATCCAGGTAGTGTATCTCTAACTGGGTCTATTAGTCACAAAGGCTTTATATTGTAAGTAGTGGTAAAGGGAGAAAACTGCTAAACTGCAAGCTATCCTTTACCAGAAATTAGTTCCTTTGGCACACATCTTTCTCTGGGCCGCTTAAAGTGTCTGTAAATAGCTAAGTATAAAACGAGCTTTGGTGTAGCAGAGTCGGCGCTTCTGACGCAGCCAACTTGACCATATCCCTTTATTGTCACTCTAGCATGAGTTGTTTTTTTCATAAAACCATAAAATAGGTGCAATAAAAAAAGTTTAAGGGGATGTTTGTTTTTTTAAAATCACTGAACTTTAGAAATCTCACATCTGTATCTCTATTCCTGCCTTTTAATAAACCAGTGGCTGCAAAGGAAGAATACCAAAAGGAAAAACTAGACTGTCTTATCTTTTTCTGACCTACGATAAATTTTCACTTGACATTGGAGATGTCATAACTGGATTCCAGTTAATTTCCCATATTGGGCAGGTTAGAGAGGAACCAGCCCACCAAATTATGATCTGGCAAATTTAACAAGGGGGTGGGGGAGAGTAAACTATTTTTCAGTAGATTTGCACTTTAACATTATGAACTGGATGTTGGTTGGAAGTCCTCCCACAGGGCAGATGGGTAAATCCCTTGCCTGCATGTGGATATTAGAGTCAGAACTCAGTCTTGCTCGCTTTAAGCCCACCTCTGCAACAGTTGTCTGTTGATGTAATCAGAGCCAAGATTTCCGTTTCCCCACTTGGTGTCACCTTCCATGTCTGCTACATTGACAGTCATCCTTGGGAGGATGTGTCTAGTAGACTTCTCCGACTCAGAAACTTTGTGAGTTATCTTTCCCACATCTAGATTTAAAAAATTAATTTAGATGTTGGCTAAATTAAGTTGTGGCTAATGTTAGGAGGGTGGGAAATTATTTGCTTCTTTGATCAGCAGGGTCCCTCCCTGCCTCTGAGGTGCTATTGCCTAGAGGGATTAATCCCATCAAAAGACTGGGGGGTTGGTAGCTATAAGGAATATACATTTTGCCAGCTGCTTCTCCCAGGGTGGCAGCCATGATCACGAGCATCATTCCAGAATCTTTGGCTTCTAGAACCAACTCCATTCTGAAGAACATTTTAACATCTATTAACATCTATTAATACTTTGGTAATTACCTTTTATATGCAGGAATTTTGTAGCATGAACTTTATGACTAAAATTATTGTGTTAAATTATTTAGAAATGTTGTTTCTGAATGTTATTTTGTGAGACTTGTTTTAAAATAGTAATAAATTGTGTTATTTTATAAAAAAACTAATTTGTATCTTTTTTAGTTACATAACCATTAGTTTTAGCTAATACAGAGCAACTATCTGAACTTCAAATGATATTCTGTTCCAAAGAAATTCAGTCTTTGGATAACATATTCCACAGCTTTGTGTGTGTGTGCATGTGAGAGAGCGAGCAAGAGAGGGAGAGACTGACGCGTTTCTCTAGCCTCTTCCCACCCCCACCCCCAGTAGTTCACTACCAATGATTTTTTCTCCCAGGTCTGTAAGTCTTCCCCAGTTCTCTGGGCACCATTTCAAAGTGATCAGCATCCTGGAAAGAATCCTTACAGGTACAGCAAGTCACTACTGCACTTCATTCCTAGTCCTCTCCTTAGTTCCAGAAGTGTCCACGGTTCAGTTTGGCTGACAGGCCCTTGATTTGTGGTCTCAGTAACCTGATGGTGGACAGCCCCTTTTTGATAATGCAACAAACAGGAAGAACTGAGTAACATCAGTAACATTACACGTGCTCCCAGCACATGTTCTGTGCCATCAGCCAAATGTTATTTTGGTCCCAGAACGGGACATGTAGTGCAGTTTCTACTTCTTTATTCCATAGTTATTTGCTTATGAGGCTATGTTTCTTGCTGCTGTCCTTCAAAAAGCAGAAAGATTTTAATTTGAGCCTATAAAGAGAAAACCTTAATTTGGATCTAAAATAGTTCATTATTATTTTAAGTTCATCATTTTCTAGAACAAAAGATCTAGAATCCTGACATTGTTTTATACCATATGTATGTATTAAATGTTTATGTGTATATGTAGATATATACAATTGTTATATATAATAAAAGAATCCCAGGAGATGACCCTCCCTCCTAAAATGCAGTCAACTCTGCACCTATAAAAAGAAGGTATATCACTATGTGCAGATATAGGATGCCCAAAACATATTGGCTAAAAAAATATGAAGAACCCATTGTTCGTTATGTGTGTATGTACATAGAGTGGGAGTGTGTACATATATGTGGTGGCTGGTTGGTGTGTGCGTGTGGAGAAATGGGAATGTATGACAGGGTGGGAGACTGGTATAGCGTGTGTGGTGGGAGGAGGGAGCACGTTTATGAGGGAGTGTTGTGGGGAAGGCAGGACGAATGTGTGAAGAATTATGAGGTGAGGGCAGTGTGCGCGCCGGGGTGTGGACAGAGAAGCTGTGTGAGATGGAGTGGGGAGAGGAGGAATGTTTCCCGGGAGAGATCTGCCTGTCTGTTGTGGGGGTCAAATATGTGGAGATGTGTATGTTCAGAGAAGAGCGTGAGGGAAGGACAGACGTCATGTGGGAAGTGAGGAGATGAGTGTATAGAAAAATCTGTTAAAACAAATACCAATATTAGCCTTTATAAATATATTTTTTACCTTACGATTGTTACAATAGGTGGGCTATAATTTTAAATCATTGTTACTAGGGGAAAACCCCCACTGAACACTATGTTCATGTAATCACTTCTGGATTTACTAGGATCTCAAAAGATGGACATCTTCAGTCACTGAATCTCTGCAGTCAAATAAACATGTTTTTAAGCCATATATCCTTTTATATCCTGATGTAAAATGGCTGCTGTAAAACCGAAACACTCACTTTACAGTGTTATTCCTGCAGTTAAACAAACACTTTTAGCTGAAAGGAACTTAAAAAGAGAGGAAAAACATGGCTAAACTCCATTTCAGGATTTCCTAACATTTTATAGTAAGTTAATATTTACTTATACCTATTTAGCCTAACATTTGCCTTGTAGAAAACATGCAAAAATTGAGTACATTAAAAGTACATACTATGATATAAAACTTAGATAAAATAATAGATTTTTTTTAGTGACATGGAAGTCTGAGAAAAGATATGTATCTTAATTACAATGAAATTTTTTATACATGTCAGAAAAAAGACTAGAATTTTTTAAAATATTTTATTTGTATACATGTATTTGATAACTTCAAATTTAGAACACTTAGAACCAGCACGAGTAAAGAGAACTATTATTCAATGATAAAGATTTGAAACGGGGGAATGGATACTGTAACTGGTTCATATTAACCTCCCCATGCGATTTATATCTGTATCTTATACAGTGAAAAATTCTAATTTACACAGCTCTCTAATTGTAGTATTTTTCTAACACCCTATTTTGTAGTCTCAGGATACTTTTCAATTAAATTGATCCCGATGTTTAGAGATGAAAACCAAGAAATTAGCACTGTAAAGCTGAATCACTAAGAATGTCGAATTCACATTTCTTCCCATTAATATAAATAAGGAACCATTTACAGTAAACACAAAAACTATTCACATCATTAGTATTAACAGTTGACATTTTTACTGAACATTTCTGGTGTTAGCCAGGCTCTGAAATAAACATCCGAACGTGCAATTTCACATTTAAGGACCTCGATGAGAAGTGTCACAAGTTCACGTTTTTCACAAGTGGTGGTGACGCCATGATCACAGCTTGCACTGAGCACCCGTGTCCAAGCCTTTACCTGGCATTTTAGCACGCTGGCATGGCTCACTCGCACGGCTCAGGGTGCTGGGTTTCACTGCTCCATGAATATGCAGGCCTGGCTTCCCCCCCAGAAAACAAGACTTCACTAAGAGACACCTATAGGACAGCACAGAGACAAAGCTGTTATCTAGGTCTGCACTGCAGCTCCACTTCCCGGGCTCAGAAGTGCCCCTCCAGGCCCAACTGCAGGAGCGCAGCCTCGGCCTCCTCCTCCTCCTCCTTGGCCTCCTCCTCCCGGATTCGCACCAGCAACTGAAAGAGGTTGGGGGCCGGCCCTTCCGCAGCCCCGGTCAGCCACAGCTGCCTTCGAATGGCCCCACTGTGGTTGGCTCCGGCAATGACCTGCTCCAGGCGGGCCTGGTTCACGTTATCTTTATCTATGGCCCCCTTCTCCACCACCTTCTGCAGCAGAGGCTCCAGACGAATGACATAAGCCGATAACTTTTCTCCCGGATTCTGGTAAGTGTTCAGAAATCTGACCTGCGCGTCCCTAGAACTCTCGACGCTCCCGAACACCTGCTCCAGTGCCTTCAGGCATTCGGCCGTAGTTATGGCGGGGTTGTTAGTCTTGAGGATGCGGATGACATCAGCGGCGGGGCCTCTAAGACTCTCCATCAGCCGCCGCCTCTTTTCTATATCAGACACCTGCCACTCCTCTATGACCTCATTAGTGTGCTCCAGCCAGGAATCAAAGGTCTCCTCCCCGGGCCCCGGGATGTCCTTCCCCGAGAACAGCGTCAGCTTCTTGTACCATATGGACTCAACAAGAGGCTGAATAACATTATCCAAAATATAGTTTAGCATCTCTGCTGGCATATCTGAGCCCGGGGGCGGAGCGGGGTTCTGAAACCCAAGGACCCGGGCAACATCTTGCACGGTCCACCCCTCTCTCGCTAGGAAAAGGTGCAGCCTTTCTAAAAATTCAGCATCGGATGTCGGTGGCTTAAAGACCACTTTCCAGACCCCCCCTTTTCCCGACATCTCCCTGGGGATGGCCGCGTAATCCACGGCGCCAGTGAGCTCTAACAAGGCTGCTTTCGCGTTCTCTTCCCTCCAGAACATCCTCCCAAGCACTCGATAGGGCACCTGGGGCATCGCAGCCTGGAGGGTGTCTTCGATTTCAGCCTCATCACAGTTCACTGGGATCCCCCAGACCAGCAGGGCTCTCTGGGAGTTCACATCCATCCCCCTGCACCAGTCTTCCAACAGGGTCATCGCCATTTTCCCAACTATCACGGGCCCAACTCTACGAATACGGATTAGCTGGCTCCCTGTGCTCTAGGGCTGAGGACAACAGCAGACACCCCCAAATATGCCCGAGGGAGGCAAGCTGCACGCAACCACAATTAACAAACGGCACCAGAGTCCCGCCGTAGTCCTTTCGCTGCCCCCAAGGCAGTCGGCCGGCCGACGAGTCCTCGTAGCGAAGCCTCGGGAAGGCTCAGTCACCCAGTCACGCGGCCGCGGCCATCTTGCGTCTCCGGTGGGGGTCGGCGGCCCCAGGGGCTCGCGGCGCAGGAGGCTCGGCGCGACGGCGGGTGGCGAAGGAAGGAGCC